CCTTCGGGTTTACACTGAATATGGGGTGTGTGGATGGAGCTGTGGGTGGTGCACCCATGGTCCCTCTGTAGGCGCAGGCGTCCAGTGGCTGGCCACAGTGACAGGTAAATCCGAAACCGGATGCCGCCAACCATAATCACAACTGTCTAGCAACTAGACACAAAGCCAATAAAAACCACAGAGATTAGCGGATATGGAAGAGTTATCACGCCGTAATCGTCGTGGCATAACATTTGAAGATGAGCAGCAAAGTTCAGCTACTATACCACAGGAAGAAAAGAAACATTTGGACAAAAAGTAGAACAAAACATTTTTAGTTTGTTTTTCAGACGCCGATCTTGTCACTTCTAGTATTTGAAGTATTAAACATGCGAAAAAATACTATTCTGTACACAATTCTTCCGCTGATTCCGGTTGCGGGCCATGTCTTCAAGAGTGCTAAGCCAATGGCAATCCTCATCTTCGGGTCCACATCCTGGAAGACGTACGGATCCAACAGCGGATAGACACGACCTCAGCGATTTCATGTGCTGTACCCATGTAGAGATCTGATCCCCACGAGGTGGCCTCCAGCCAGGTCATTGACAAGCGAATGGCGCACGACGCCCTAGGCGCTCAGGTGCCATGCGTAGGAGGAAACCGAGCCATCTCAACTGCTGCAGCAAAGCCAGTTTATTGAAGGGAATACTCACTTCCCCCAAGATGCGATGTCGAACGTCATTACTGTTAACTCGATGTTGTCACCAAACACGAGCAATCCACTTTAGGCAACTGTTATCGAAGGCAAAAAGACGATGCATGTCTTCTACGCGAATCGGCCGGGACTCATTCCCATACAACAAAACCGAGCGAACAGATGTGCTGGAAACGCGGCCCGTTAGCCAGAATTAGACGTCGCAACGACGCCACAAGTGCTTCAGACTAGCAAATACTGATCGGGCTTCAGGGATGAGAAAAGAAACTTCTTTGCTGATAATGTCGTCAGCAGAAACATAACTCCCAAGTTAGACGAAACTATCTACCTGCTCAAGTTGTGCGCCGAGAATGAACACGGAAGCAGATGAAAGACAATCCATGAGCAGTATATTACACTTCAATGCGCCGAAGCTCATTTCATACTTAGATGCTTTAATCGGCAAATGATCCAGAATGAGTTACATATCCTAAGAATCGTCACCAACTAAGGCGAAAACATCAGCACAATCTAAGTTGGTCGCGCGATCACCCGGTAGAAGCTCTAGGTCAAAATGTTGGAAACCTTCTAGAGCACTCTACAGAACGTCTTCAACTGTGAAGTTGTAGAGGAATGAGGACATAGTGTAGCCCTGTTGTACACCGCTAGTGACAGCGAATTGCGAGGAAAGCTTGCTATAGACCCTCACTCCGCTGGATATATGAAGATAAAATGCTCATAAGATGGCGGTAGATTTCTCTGGCACCTCGTTCTTTAACAAGCGATGCCGTAAAGCAGATCGATCAACGGAGTCAAAAGCGGCACGTATGTCTAGGAATGCAACGATAGTGGACATGTGATATAGGTGGCGATGTTCGAGGGGCTGGTGGAGCGTGAAGATTTGATGCAGGCATACGCGGCCTGGACGGAAACCAGCTTGTTATTCACGGTAAGATGATTCACATACTGGGGTTAGTCTACGGAGCAGAATGGATGAAAATAGCTTGGAGGCAACCGAAATAAGTCTAATCATGTGATTATTTACTCATGAAGTGCGAGCGCCTTTCTTGCAAATCTGGATAATAACCGATTCGCCCAAAGAGGAAGGCACTTTTCATGTCAGTTTTTCGCGAACGGCGCGGTCAGCTGGTTACTGATCACCACGTCGCCGTATTTGAACAGCTCCCGAGGAAGTCCTTCTGAGCCGGAAGCCTTAGACCACTTCAAGCGTCGAATTTCGAGGCAGACTTCCGCTTCACTGGGTAGATTCAGTGGGACGAGCCAGGGAGGACAACTATGCTGCATGTACTGATGGACGGTGGAGGCAAGTTGAACTGCGAGTGAAAGTGCTTGGCCCAGCGGGACATACGCCTCTGTTAGTTGGTGATCGGAGACTCCTCCACCTCGCAAATGACCTCACTGACACCAGGCTTCCTGAGGCCAGTGGACCGAATGAGTTGGAAAAGCTTGTGAGTGTTGCCAGAGAGGGCACGCTCAGACCACCATATCTCACAGTCATTGCTTTGGCTTTGCTTGAGCAGCCCCTCGGCAGAACGGCGCCGCTCGTTGCAATCAGATTCCGCCGGGATATCTTTGGGGTGTTCGAACAGCTCCAGGGAACGAGCAGAGATTCAAGTCTTTAAGGGGCGTCGAGCTAGGACACAGCTTGACTGTCCGGAAACGGTCATCGCTTTCCGTAGACAAATCCAGTGTTATTATATGTCGTGCGGTGGATTGCCACTGAATGCGTATGCCAGTGAAGACTGATAGAGCGTCTGGACAGAGGAATCAGTTAATTTGTTTACACCAATCTCGCGATGACTCACAGTCTGTGGGTTTGCTCGAGCGTTTACCTCGCTCCCGCTCCCC